CCCCGGGGCCAGTCGGCTCCGGCAGGAGCCTGTTTGGGCGGCTTTGGTGATGCAGCCGCAGGGGGAGGAACCTTGTTTGGGTCTGTGACCCACAGAAAAATCAGTTGGGGGCCACACGCAAGTGAAAAGCAAAGAGAAAGCCCCACAAAAACCTCTCACTGAGGTGGAGGAAAAAGACCCTCCCCATGTTCCCCTCACGCACCAGAGCCTAGGAGTGCGCATCGGAGCCCTTTTGCTCTCCGCTCCAGCTGCCGATTGCTAACGATTTGGGTGGATTCCCCCATCCCTGAGCCTAGGGAGGCTGGCTCCTAGCAAGCTGGGGGCCGCATCCAGCCCCTGGGCCTGAGGTCACCCACCCCTGCGCTAGACTGGGACCCAAATCAATTCCAATTTTCAAAGGTTTGGTTGTCCCCACCCAGGCTGGATTCGAACCCACGACCTGGAGGCGGAAGAGGGCAAGGCCTGGGCTGTGGCTATTTTGTAAGAACATAAGAACGGCCGTACTGGGTCAGACCAAAGGTCCATCTAGCCCAGTATCCTGTCTGCCGACAGTGGCCAGCACCAGGTGCCCCAGAGAGGGGGGACCAAAGACAATGATCCAGCGATTTGTCTCCTGCCATCCCTCTCCAGCCTCTGACAAACAGAGGCCAGGGACACCAATTCTATCCCCTGGCTTATAGCCTTTTATGGACCTAACCTCCATGAAATTATCCAGCTTCTCTTTAAACTCTGTTATAGTCCTAGCCTTCACAGCCTCCTCTGGCAAGGAGTTCCACAGGTTGACCACAGGTTTCATCAGCCAGGCTGCGTCGCATGCACTTGCAGGGACCCGGGACTGGGGGCTGATTTCACAGTGGGATCCCTCAGCGCTGTCCCTGTAAGAGCAAACCACCCACGTGGCAGACAAACCCAGCTGGGGGTCCCCCTTACCATGTTGTGGATGAGGTTGGTGAGTGTCCAGACCACGGGGACGCTGAAGAAGGGGATGCTGAGGAGGACCACGTGCAGCAGGCCAATCCCCAGCACGTAGGAGAGCCAGATGCCTCGGCTGTTCATGACGCGGGTGTTGGGGTTCACCTCGCTGTGGGCCGTCCCCACGTTCATGCTGGCTCACGCGCCGGCTCGGCAGCCCTGAACTGAACCAAGAAAAGCAAGAGACCGGTCAGCGCAGGGGGGCAGCAGTCGCTGAGCTAGAAGCTGCCAAAACCTGCCACGCAACAGCCCCAGCCTCCCCCCCAGTTACAGGCGATGGGCTAAGCAGCAGTTGGGCAGAAAAGGCCCTGGGGATGACAGTGGGTGAGAAGCTGGATCGGATCAACAGGGCGCCCTTGTAGCCAAGAAGGCTAACGGCATATTGGGCTGCATTAGGAGGAGCATGGCCAGCAGATCTGGAGAAGTGATTAGTCCCCTTTGTGCGACACTGGGGAGGCCACATCTGGAGTATTGCACCCAATTCTGGGCCCCCCATTACAGAAAGGATGTGGGCGCATTGGAGAGGGTCCAGCGGCGGGCGACCAAAATGATTCGGGGGCTGCAGCCCTTGACCTACAAGAAGAGGCTGAGGGATTTGGGCTTGTTGAGTCTGCAGAAGAGAAGAGGGAGAGGGGATTTGAGAGCAGCCTTCAACCACCTGAACGGGGGGTTCCAAAGAGGCTGGAGAGAGGCTGTTCTCAGGGGTGGCAGATGGCAGAACGAGGAGCAATGGGCTCACGTTGCAGTGGGGGAGGTCTAGGTTGGATATTAGGAAAAACGATTTCCCTAGGAGGGTGGGGAAGCGCTGGGAGGGGTTCCCTCGGGAGGGGGTGGAATCTCCATCCCTAGAGGTTAAGTCCCGGTTTGACAGAGCCCTGGCTGGGATGATTGAGTTGGGACCAGTCCCAACTAGGATTCCTTGTCGCAGCTACTCAGCCAAGACCGGCCCAGGATGGAGCATGGTCATGCAGGTGACGCGGCTGACGCAAAGTCGGGACTTCCGGGTTCTGTCCCAGACGCTGCTGCTTTCCCACCAGAAGCTCTCCGTACCCAAGCTTTGAAGTGGAGATGGAGCTACATCTGCTAAGGTTTGAGATTCAAGCGGAAGGTGCCAGGGAAGAGGGGTAGCTTCGCGCCAGTGGGGCGTGGGTCACTCCGGAGGTATATTCTGATGGAACCAGGGCTCTGGATGATTTCAGTCCTTGGACTCTGTCTGTGAAGAGCCAAATGGGTAATTTCCCAGCACAACCCGGAGCACGTCCTCTTTCAGGACACCTTGGGTACGTCTAGACTACAGGCTTTGTCGACAGATACGGTCGACAAAGCTTCTGTCGAAAACGAGCGTCTAGACGACATCCAGTTCTGTCGACAGCTGCTTTGTTGACATGAGAGTGTAGACGCAAAGGACAGGCGTTATTCCTCGTAGAATGAGGTTTACCGCCGTCAACAAAACTGCCGAGTTCTGTCAACATTATGTCAACAGAACTCGGCGGTAGTGTAGACACAGGTATAGTTTTGTTGACAAAAGCCTGTAGTCTAGACACACCCATTAAGGCCCTGCAAAATCTGGAGCATAAAGCAACCCACATGCTTTAGTGTCTGTAGGATTCAGGGCATAATCTGAGAACAGCCCCGATTTTGCACAGTCTTGGGGAGGAGGGGTAACCTTCCCATTAGGATTAGCCATACTGACTGCTATAGGGGTCAGTGTGGCTGCAGCCTCCCACCCCAACCCAGAGGTCAGACCTGGGCTCTCAGTTTGTAAGCAGTGAAAGTCTCCCAATTAAAGGCATTACAGAGATCGAGGCAACGGGAGGGAGGGAATTGCTCTGGGACGAGCCCTTGAGAGCGAGGTGAGAAAAGCAACAAGGTGGGAATGAAGCAGGGAGGTGATTTCAGCCGGGGGTGCCATATAGGAGAAGGCTGCCCCACTGCCATGGGGCAGAACATGCAGACACCAGGGGACGCGTGGAAAGAGGCAGTGTCAAAGCAATTCTGATGAGGCCAGAAAGAGAAATTCACTGCAGGTGCAACCTCTCTAGTCCGGCACCCTCGGGACCTGACACGTGCTGAATCAGAGAATTTGCCAGACCATGGGAGGTCAATATTGTCTAGCAGCATGACCAACACTTCTACTGCTTGCTGGGCTCTTAAAGACATTTAGGGGTCGACTGGAGCTAAACAACAGCAAAGAACATTGGCAGCCAGGACTGGTGGCTGTAAGCAACTTTATGGGACTGTGGGAAACGTGGCCACGCCCACAATAAGTGGCCACCTGGCTACGTAAAATCATGCCGGACCAGAGAGGTTCAACCTGTACTGGAAAGGAGAACACAGTGCCACTGGCCATACGGAGGATGGATTTGGGGGCCATCCACAACAATACATGAAATCTCACAGCCGGCTACACTCATTGGCTCGTGTATTTAAAGAGGTTCATTAGCAAACACCAGACACATGCTTACCACACCCTCGCCTAATGATGGAACACGCCAGGTGCGGGAGCAGCACGGAATGGGGTAGGCCTATCCGTGGCCACGGTTCGCACGTGGCCACCGGCTGACAGGGATCAAAACCACCGGCCCCACGCAAACGGGACCTTTCACCCACCCCTCCCCAGCTCGCAGCTGTCCTGCCAGCACCTGCCACAGCTGGCTCCCTCTGGATGGGCAGATTGTGACGTCATCCAGCCAGCGCGAGATCACAACCGAAAAAAACCTCAGATTCCAGAGATCGCCAAAGCGTGCCAGCCACGGGCCCGATCCGGGGAGCGTATTCCTCCCAGGCAGAGCGACAACACGTGGCACTGAACAGCGACATCACCAGGAAGCCAAGTCAGCGAGTATTTTCAAGCTCAGACCTTTGCAGGATTGAATCATAAGAACGGCCAGACTGGGTCAGAGCAAAGGTCCACCTAGCCCAGCATCCTGTCTGCTGACAGTGGCCAATGCCAGGTGCCCCAGAGGGAGGGACCAGAACAGGGAATTATCACGTAATTCCTCCTGTCACCCATTCCCAGTTTCTGACAAACAGTGGCTAGGGACATCCTCCCTGCCCCACCTGGCTAACAGCCATTGATGGACCCTCTTCCATGAATGTATCTAGTTCTTTTTTGAACCCTGTTAAAGTCTCGGCCTTCACATCATCCTCTGGCGAGGAGTTCCACAGGTTGACCGTGCGTTGCATGAAATAGTACTTCCTTTTGCTTGTTTTAAGCCTGCTACCTATGAAGACCCATCACCATGTGTCTCCCAAAGATGCCGCCACACGTTTGCCAGAGCAGCGGGTGCGCGTTCCATCACTTGAAGCCTGGTGAAGAGGTTCGCTGCAGCTCCACCCCCACTTTCCTGTGGGAATCATCGGGTGGGAGTTTCTAAGCTGTGCTTTCCAGGCAGCGAGACTAGATGCTCAGAATGGATCCTTCCAGCCTTGAAACCTACACGTGCCCATTTAGTATGTCACACCCGGATCCGGCACTCACTGCGGCATGTGCTTAAGTCAGCGGGACTCGTCACGTGCATTATGAGAAGGGGATATGCATGGCTAGGGCCAGCTTTTGGGCTCTTGAAATTAATTTCCATGGATTTTGTCTGCCGAAGCTTGGTTTGTGGCGTTTTGATTTTTTTTCCCAAAGTGGGCCAAACTTGTCCATCAGCAGGAGCATTTTTTTTTTTTTTTTAAGATGCCGCTTGGTCATGCAAAGTTCAGTAGCGACAGATGCAGAGGCTCACGCACAGATGCAGAAATTAAAAGGCCGGGATAAGCCAGGCTCCCCCTTCCTGGTGAGCGTCTGGGGGTGTTGCTGGCTTAGCTCCTGTTGCTGGAAAAACTGATTTGCCGCTGCTGGCCAGCTCCCACACGCTCGGATCGTGGGAGGCGGGCTGCAGCCAGACACACAGCTGCCAGATGGGCCAAGTTTCCCAACAGAACTCTGGACCTAGGTTATTTTGCAGGCTGCAGCTCTATCATTAGATCATTACACAGAACAAAAACTCTCTCCTGCCACTGCTGCTGGCTGCAGGACTCGTACACTGAGCAGTGGCCACGTGTGACTTTTGGACGCGGGCGCAAGGCAGGGCTGCTATCCGACCGGCACACCAATTCCTCTGCCTCTATAAACTAACCCCCTCCTCAGCAGATCAGGTAGGGCCCATTGGACTCCTCCAGGGCTCAGAACCCAGCATTCAGGCCAAAAGCAGCGTTCCCGGTCGGCTGGGCGCTTGTGCAGCTGCTCAGGAGATTCCAGTGCTGCCCAGCGGATTAGCAGAGTGTCCACCGCTAGGTTGGTGTTTCACATTCGCACATGCCTCGGTGCACATACAAAATTTATTCCGCACTGTCGCACTGGGGCAGCTTGCCGCAGACCGGGGCTGCTCCAGTCGTCCAGAGAAGCCCATCTCTGCCCAGAGGCAGGGGCTGCTCTGGTTTTTGTCGGTTAACCAATTAAACGGGATTTTACATCTCCATTTCACACATGGGTAGAAAAGATTCGCGGGAACGTTGGCCAAAAGACATGCTCAGGATCAGCTGCTTGGGTATTCCGGGAGTCCAGTTGGAAGACACCGGCTTGATCTTCGGGAAGAGTCGGGCCTGTTGCAAACTTTAGCAGGTGCTTTGGAAATGTGGGCCCGTCCCCTTTGTGTGCCTCAGTGTCCCCTCTGGGAAACATGGCTCAGGCCTGGTTGAACCCTCCTTCCTCCGCACGCCCTGCGGAGCCCGGCCCACCGAGGAGGTCAGCCACGGAGTAATACCAGGAATCTCTCTCTCGCAGGCCCCTGCGGTTTATTTCCAAAGCCTACTTCAGAGCTAACCAACCAACCCAAGCCGACGGCCCCTCCCCCAGCGCACTGGTTATTAGCTTTGCAGACGGGATTTTGTTCCCCTACAGGAAAAACAAATCACACAAGGAACGTGATGGAAACTTTGCTCCAGTGCCCTCCCCCTTCTGAGGCAGATGGCTGCTAAGCGCCAATCTCCCAGCTGCGCAACTGCTCCTAAGGGGGGAAAGACTTGACTGTTTCACCCCGACGGCCCCTCCCCCAGCGCACTGGTTATTAGCTTTGCAGACGGGATTTTGTTCCCCTACAGGAAAAACAAATCACACAAGGAACGTGATGGAAACTTTGCTCCAGTGCCCTCCCCCTTCTGAGGCAGATGGCTGCTAAGCGCCAATCTCCCAGCTGCGCAACTGCTCCTAAGGGGGGAAAGACTTGACTGTTTCAGCAGGCCGAGACAGCTGCAGTGCTGGAGGAGCTAGACCGGCCTCTGGACAGCCTGGCCCACGGAGCCTCCTGCCTGCTCTGTGCCAGTCCTGCTCCGAGACACATTCCAAGCCTGACCTACAGCCTCGTGGGATGCAGGGCCAGGACACCCTCCTCCTGCCCCGTTCTGCCTCCTCCTGTCCCTGCTCTTCATTGCAATCGTTGCTCTGGGGAGTGTTCCCTGAAAACATCCACTCGATGTGCAGCAGCAGTTAAAAAAAGCAAACAGAATGCTGGGACTCTGTCAACCTGTGGAACTCCTTGCCACAGGATGTTGTGAAGGCCAGGACTTTAACAGGGTTCAAAAAAAGAGCTAAAGAAATTAACGGAGGATAGGTCCGTTTATGGCTAGTAGCCAGGCTGGGCAGGAATGGTGTGTCTAGCCTCTGTATGCGAGAGGCAGGAATGGGAGACAGGGGAGGGATCACTTGATGATTCCCTGTTTTGTTCACTCCCTCTGGGGCATCTGGCATTGGTCAGAAGACAGGATAGCAGGCGAGATCGCTCTTTGGTCTGACCCGTACACACACACAGCCTGACGCAGCCCGGATCAGCGGCAGTCACGTTGGGCTGTTGGCTCGGCTCCCATCAAGCACAGGATGGGCACTAACAGGCCCGTGTGCTGGGAGGCCTAGCACCGAACGGGCCACTAAGACTCTTATTCATCTGGAGCCCTCCCCCGGCAGGGCCTGCGGGGGAAGGAAGCTGCTGTTCTGCAGCTACAGGTCTGTCTGCAGGGCGGCCAGGCCTGTTCAAGGGAAGAAGCCAATCAGCATCGTCGGTTTTCTCCCAGTCGGGTCAGCCACCAACTGGGGATGTAAAAACCCGTTTAATTGGTTAGCCGATTAAAGGGGAGGTGGGCAGGGGGCCTGCTCTAACCCAGCTGGGCTGAGCTGGCTGGAGCAGCGGTGGGCCCCATGGTTAACCACTCACATCCCCACCTCCCACCCAGCAGGGACCCCGGGGCAGCAGCACAGGCCTCGCTGCTGGGCCCGGCAAGTGTTATTAGGAGGCAGCCAGCTCCCAGGCATCAGCTCCCAAAGCCCAGCACTTGGGGGCGGTGGGAAGAGAGACTGGGAGGGAGGCAGATTCCCGCCCCGCCGCTCAGTTGAGAACGATGCTGACTCGTCTCTCTTGTGACTGGCCATCGATTGCCACGCTCAGCCTCGTGCCAGGCCAGAGAAAACTGAGATGCGTGGCCACGGCTGCTCCTCCGCGTCAGAGGGTCACAGGGACGTGAATCACAACATGGCTGAGCAGGCAGGGCCCAGACGTTTTTGGCTTCTGCTGCCAGATCTTTATCAACCTGCTACGCGACTCCCAGCAAGTCACTTCCTCTCCCTGCACTTCTGCGCTCTCCGGGTCACGTCTAGTCAGACTGCAAATTCTCCAGGGCAGGGACTGTCCCGCTCTACAGGTTTACACAGGCCCCGATCTCACTGGGAGGAAGAACGAATCTATGCAGAGTTCAGTGCCAAGGGGCCCCAAACTCAAACGAAGCCTCTGGCTGCTCTCACAGCACAAACAATCACGTACGAGGGGCCGAAATCGCCCTCAAACGTGGGAGGGGAGCCAATTTCCTGGGGACACGAATATTTTCAACCCTTCTCCGCAGTCACATTATTTGCTTCTTGCTCATCAAAGCGCAGCCGGAGCCTTGCTCCCAGCGTCAGCATAACGCATTTCAGGGACTACGGAAACACCGCTACCCTGAAAGGAAGCCAACATCGGAAGGCGCCTCAGGCTGCGTTAGGTTAATGGCAGTTTCTCATCTCTGGAGCCCAGGTGCTGACCCGGAGTTAAGTCCCAGACACAGAAATCAGGGCCCTCCCCCCCCTGCCACTAAGCCAGCTGTTTTCAAACTTTTTTTTTTCCCCCTCTCATGATCCAGCTGAAGAAAATGGTTGATGCCGCGACCCAACAGAATTTGACAGGAGTGCGGATTCCAGGGTGGGGCTGAGGACGGAGCTTTGAGGTGCAGGAGGGAGCTCTGGCTTTGGGGGGGTCAGGGCTGGGGCAGGAGGGGCTGACCTCAAGCAGCTCCCTGTCAGTGGTGCA